GCAAATACACCTAGTGCCCTAGCTGATTACTTAGAAGACATCATTGCTATCACGGAACAACTAAACAACCTACGGACAAACATGCCACAAGTACATACTCGGTTTTGGCCTCACATCAAATCCTTCTTGCACCAAGCTGGACACTGGACTAATGTCCGCCTCGAAATGCGCTGCCACCAACAAGAAGATCCTGAAGACACCAACACATGGAACGATTACCCTGAGAACAGATACAAATGGATCAAAACTTATCTCCGTTCCGACAATCCAACCACAACTACAATCAGTACTCTCACCTTCCTCAGACGCCCATCATCTAAAAAAGATAAAACCTCAGAAAAAGACTCCGACGCACATCACAAAAAATCCGATCGATCCCAACACTCCAGACCTTCCAAATCTCCCGACCGCAGAAACAAAAAACGTTCATCACCCACAAGACGACGGTCCAGAACACCTTCTCGGAGACGCCACCGTCAATCCTCTTGCAGCCGCTCTCAAACTCCAGATCACCGATCACGTCCATCCACGTACTCATCTTCAAGAAACCAGAACATTTCCAACAATCAAAGAACTGGATACAATTGTCCATTTTGTAACTCTACACACACATCCACCAACTGTCGCCTAAGCATAGAAGACTGAATCAGTGCCACCAATACGAAACAACTCTGTTACAACTGTCTAAGCTCCAGACATCACTCCACCTTATGTCAAAGCTCCAACCGATGTCGCAACTGCACCGGTAAACACCACACAGCACTATGCCGGAAATCAAACAATAACCAACGTAACAACTATCCTCCATCTTCCTACGTCAGACAGAATAACTATCACAATCTACGACAAAATCCACCGCAAAGAGGAAATTACAATAATTGCCCCCAATACAACAACCAATCACAATACAACAACCGTCCTCAACAAAATGAACGACAATATAACAATCAACGCTACAACAACCGCAACAATAATCAACAGCAAAATAACCAACCTCAAAATCAGAACAATCGAGTTAATCTTGCTCAACTTGTCCAAGAAATCCACACACGCCTACCGGCCCAAGCAGCACCCGCAGCTCCACCCGCAGCTCAACCACCT